ACCAGAAAGACCCAAAATGGTCCCTGAAATCCCTTTCTAAGGGACCTTTTGACAAACTTTTCTTCCTTAGTATATTATAAAAATCATGCCCAAGGGTGGGGATTTAACATTTAAATGAGACATGCGATGTATGGCTATGCATGTTCCAAGCATGTTTAGGAACTATGCATGTGCCTTGGAAATCCAAGAAATATCCACCTTTTTATCAGAAATGTTTGCCCCTGAGACCCCCTATCTGCCCCCCAAATGCTTTAGGACTGTCCTAACTCCCACAATCGGGAAAAAGGGGTCTTTAAAGCGCAAGCTCGTCCTTCTCCATTCCTTGGCTAAAGAATAAGATTTCTGATCTGCTGTACCAGTTTCATTCTATTGGTGCGAGCAGCACGGGGCAGAAGAAACACAATTTTGGGTCCCCGCCTCGAAAGAGTTGGAGACAAAATTACATTGGAGCTGAAAAGTCACTACAAAGCCTAGTGACCTTGTAGCTGTAAGTTGAGGAAGTAGCAGGAGGCATTACAGACTATTCATAGTAATGTTATCAGCTAGAAATGCCTGGGGCATTCATCTGAGCCCTGGTGAGCTTCCCAGGTATCACTCTTTTCTAAACCAGTGTTACAACTAGACTGTCCCTTGTGGGTTTTGTTAAGATTGCAAGACACCTTTCAGCTATAACCATTAGAAACTTCAAAGAAAAAAAAAGAGTTTCTTACTTACAGGCCCTGGAGCTACAAGGCATGCCAGGGGCACACAGCGAGGTCAAGGTAAGGGGAGAGAGAGAGAGCACAGGTACCGGGCTGCAGTTCGGCTGCTACTGGAGGTCAGGAGGGGGGCTAGGGTTTCGTGAGTTCACTGTTTATTGGTGAATTTAAAACCTAAGACCTAAGAATGGGAATTTAATGGGAAAGAGGGGGGAAAAAAAGCAGCCAAGTGGTTAGTTACTAAAATTTACTAAGATCTCGAAAACAAAGGAGACTCAGTGGGAGAGGAGGCCTGGCTCTTTATCCAGTGCTGGCCAAGTATTTATTAGAGATAGTCACCTTGGAGGTGATGGCTCAGCAGCTGTCAGGGCTTACAGGACCATTACTCAGGTGTTCACGGTGATGCTGGTGTCAACACACCTACTATGCTGCAATCCTATGGAAGTATGTGCCTACAACCACAGTAGTGGGCTCAACCATCTAGGTTTGTATAAGTGCACACTATTATGTTCGCACAAGGACAACATTGCATAAGGATGCAGTTCTCAGAACTTATCCTCATCTTTAACAAGCTGTGACTGTTCCTTACATTCCATTCAAACTAGCAAGTGAATTCTTTTTCTAAAGCCTCTCTCATTTTTCCCACTTCCCTGTGCTCTTTCTTCTGCCTTGATGATGGCCTTTGAATCACAGGTGGGGAGTTATGTTGCTCTTTTTGTGAAGTTCTGTTCAATTGTCACCTTTTCCACAGTCTCCCCTGATCTTTCCCAAGCAGATGTGATCTCTCCTTGTCTTCTCTCTGGACTGCTCCTACAATGAAATTGTCTGTCCCTGAGTTTGGAATTGTTTCTGTCCATCCACCCTTTCATTAAGCACTCACAAGGAGCTACCAAGGCCCTGCGATAGACACTGACAATATTTAGAGACAAAACACAATCACAGACCTCACTGAGCTCCCTTTGGAGTAGCAGAGACTAATCAAAGATGTCACTGATAAGACACATCTGATTTCAGAGATGATAAATATTTAAAATGCGCACCTTAAAGTTGATGACATGGCATATTAAAGTATACTAAACACAGGTCCCCAGGAAGATACACTTAACCTAGCTTTGGGGACAGCGTCCTGGAGAATAAGACACCTCTGATTGCTCTTACAGAGTGAAAAGTCATCAGGCACAAAGACAGCAAGGTACTAGGAGAGGAACAGCAAGTTCAAAGTCAGGGAAGAGTGATAATGGAGCATAACTACTCTTAAGACATTAACATGCTTGAAGGAGTGTTCTTACATATGTTTCCTCTGGAGGGTTTCAGACACAGCCTTAAATAGTTGTGTTAGATGGAAATTAAATGTATTTTGGGCCATAGAATTATTAGCAAAAGGATATAACCATTTGTGTTAGATTGAAATTAAATGTATTCTGGACCATAGAATTATTAGCAAAAGGATATTACCATTTATGTACTACAATTTGCAGTGTGGAACTAACATTTCAGGGGATTTTGAAGAATAAATTGCTTGGGATAAATAGTCAATTTGAAATCTGAAATAGAACTGATAAATTTACCATCCAGGAGAACAGGGTCTGAATGATTAGACTGTGGCATGGCTGGACTTTCATTTATTTGTAGGTTTGACAAGGCTAATAGAGGTCGTCTAATGCACATTCTGCATTCACCATAAAAATCTTAGTTCTAAAATCTATGAGCAACTTCTGACCTCTGTTGGGACCTGCTCAGTCGATGCAGCTCATGGTTTCTACTTTTGTGTGTTTCATTTTCTTCTTCCTTGTATCTATCCAGTAAATACTGTTTTTTCTGGATCAGAAAAATTAACAATCATAATGAAGCTTCTCAAACATGTCACCCTTTAGTCTAAGAATAGTTACCCCCTCCTTAATTTGGATAGGACTAGTTCATCCTTGAGCAGAGACCAATCTGTAGATTGATTACATGCACGAGCAGCTGGAATTCAATAATGAACCAGGCAGACAATATTCTCTCTCTTAGAGCATCCCTTCTGGTAGAGGTGCCCGACTAAACACAAATAAATGAAATAATCCCAGATTGTCAGGAAATGTGAAAGTGCTCCAAGATAGCACAGAGGAGAAACCTTAGTCCACAGAGGTCAGGGGACACTTTCTAAAATGATATAAAAGCTGAATCCTGAAGAATGAGAGATTTTCTGTGTGAAGAGTTGGAGAGACCACATTGCAAATAAAAGGAAGAACAACCATGGGAGATTCTGAGCTGGGAAAGAGCTTGGTGGGTTTTAGAACTGACAGAGCTTTCTAAGGAAAGGTGAGTGAGTGTAATCTGAGGACCAGACCACACAGGGCCCTGTAGGTCTCAGGTAGGACTAAGCTCCTCACCCTGAGAAAAATGAGAAGGCAACAAAGATTTCAACAGCAAAGTGATGTGATATAATCTATCTGTGTGAAGAGTTGGAGAGACCACATTGCAAATAAACGGAAGAACAACCATGGGAGATTCTGAGTTGAGAAAGAGCTTGGTGGGTTTTAGAACTGACAGTTTTCTAAGGAAAGGTGAGTGAGTGTAATCTGAGGGCCAGACCACACAGGGCCCTGTAGGTCTCAGGTAGGACAAAGCTCCCCACCCTGAGAAAAATGAGAAGGCAACAAAGACTGCAACAGCAAAATGATGTGATATAATCTATAACAGTGGTCGACAAACTGTGGCTCGCAAGCCATATGCGGTTCTTTGGCCCCTTGAGTGTGGCTCTTCCACAAAATACCATGTGCTGGCGTGCAATAAAAGTGTAATATGGTAATTAGACCAGATGTCCTTCAGGATGAAGCCATGGCTGCCTGGGTCCCGGTTTGCTGGAGGGAAGCCGGTGCCGGCAGCTGGGAGAAGGAAGGCCTACTCTTGCATGAATTTTGTGCATCGTGCCTCTAGTTTATATATATATATATATAATTGTTTTCCTGTTTCCTTTTCCACACATCTAAAACTTTTTAAAAAATTATTTTTTCTTTTTTGTTAATCCTCACCCATTGATATTTTTAGAGCGAGTGGAAGGGGGTAAGAGGAAGAGAGAGAGAGAGAGAAACATCCATGTGAGAGAGACACATTAATTGATTGCCTTCCGCACACACTCAGAATGGGGCCAGGGATTGAACCTGCAAACAAGGTATATGCCCTTGACCCAGAATCGAATGCGCGAACCTTTGGTTCTCGGCCCAGTGCTCTAACCACTGAGTATGCCAGCCAAGGCATAATTTAGATTTTTAAAAGCCAACTCCTGCAATGTTGCTGAGACTGTAAAATGGTGCAACTACTATGGAAAAACGGTAGGGGGATTACGCAACAAAATAAAAATAGAGCTACCATATAAGCCAGCAATCTTATTTCTAGATATATATCCAAAAGAATTGCAAGCAGGGCCTTGAAGAGATAGTTGCACATCCATACTCATAGCAGCATTACTCACATAGCAGAAAGGTGGAAGCCACACAAAGGTCCATCAACAGATGAACGGGTAAATGCAATGTGGTATAGTCATCTAGTGAAATATTATTCAGCCTTAAAAAGGAAAGATGTCATATAATACAATCCTTGAGGATATTATACTAAGTGAAATAAGCCAGTCACAAAGAGAAAGAAACTGTATGATTCCACTGATAAGAAATACCTAGAGCAGTAAATTCATACACACAGAATGTAGAATGGTGGTTGCCAAGGGCTGGGTAATGGGCTAAAGGAGGTTGCTGTTTAAGGGGAAGAAAGTTTCAGTTCTGCAAGATGACAAGGTCCTAGAGATTGATCACACAACAATGTGAATATACTTAACACGCCTGAAGTGTACACTTAAAAGGGTTAAGATGGTACATTTCAGGTTATGTGCTTTTCACCACAAAATTCTAGTGGCCGGTAGAGAATGGATTGGTGGAGAGAAGGGGGCGGAGACCAGTGGGAGGCTCTTAGGGGACCCAGTGAGCAATGCCTCTGCTCTCCCTACAGTAAGGCCACATCCGAGGCCCACAGACTCCAAGTTCTCACCCACAAAAACATTCCAAATCCCCATGTATCTCATTCCTTCAACCTTCCAACATCTTTTATCAGAAGAGAAAAAAAAGTAACAAAAATGGACTTTATAAGAGTGGGTGACGAAACCAGCTCTCTCCTGGGCCCATCTTTTGACTGGGCAGGAAGAGGAAGAGGTCAGGTAGCAGGTGGACTTTAAGCAATTGTATGCAACCTGCCTTGGGAATTAGATGCTCTGTGTCAGTCTCCCACAGAAATGGCCTTCTCGTTGTTTTCAATAAACGTGGGTACTAGCCTAACATCAAGTTAGGAATTTTTTTTTCCTGACTCGTTTTTCTGTTTTGCATCATAGCAGCAGCCCTAAATGGTGAAAGCACAGAGGGCAGACAGAAGAACCCAAATTCCTCAGCTTACACAGGGGGACCCCTAAATTCTTAGAAAATAATTATTTTTTACTTTCATAAGAATTATATTTAAAATTCATTATGAAATATTTCATGCATACATGATAATTTATATTAACTCCGCAAGCTTTAAAGAGTAATATAACCAACGCCCTTGTATGTGTCACTCAGCTTTAAAAGTTGAATAATATAGTAAATAGAGTAGAAACTCCTGGGTACTCATCCTTCGCCATATCTATCTCCCTCTCCTCAGACATAACTGTTAACGTGTTCACAATTTCCTGCTTCTCTCAATGGTCTTATTAGATAGGCACATATCTGTGATGGTTACTTTTATGTGTCAACTTAGCTAAACTATAATACCTAGTTATTAAATCTGGGTGTTGCTATAAAGCAATTTTGTAACTATTATTAACTCCTACAATAGGTTGGCTTTAAGTACAAATTAGCCTTGCTAACCTGAGTGTGCCTCATGCAATCAGCTGAAAGGCCCAACGAGCAAAACTGGGGTTTCTGAGAAGAAATCTCCCTGTGGACAGCGGCTTCCATTCCTGCCTGAGAGCGCTCAGCCTGCTGGTCTGCCCCAAGGATTTCGGACTCCTCAACCCCCATGATCCTGTTAGTCAACTCCTTGAGATAATTGTTTAAAGTTTTAGAATAAAGTAAACATTTTATTTTACTCTGGTTCTGTTTCTCTGATATTATTCCTCTAAAAAAGGTGTAGTGGTTTTTCGGCCAGTTTTGGAACTTTACATAAGCAGTTTCATATTGTGGCTCTCTTTCTACAACATTGTGAAATGTATTCATATTAACGTGTACAGGTCTAGTTCATTTCTTTTTAATTTTGTACAGAGTGTCACTGTATGGTACAACAGACCATTTTCTTGCTATGGAACACTGGGCTATTTTTATTGCTTTCCTTCCTGGAATAACAAAACTATAGCAATGCTATTATAACATTCTTGTATATGTTTCCTGGTGCACATATGTAAGAATCTCATTAGGACAGATGCCTAGGAGTGGAATTTCTGCATCACAGAATTTTGCATCTTCAACTTTACTAGATAACCAAATTGTTCTAAAATGGTTGCATCTATCCTCAGGAACATACCAATTTATCAGAATCATATAAGATTTATGATTGTTCCACATTCTAAAGAAAACCTGACATTATCAAGGAAAATACTTCTAACCTAGATAGATATACATCTATTGAGAACATAGAATCAACAGGGATTAAGGATACATTAGATGGGATAGGTGAAAGAGAAAACGAAGTAAAAGATAATTATCAGATTTTTGGCTTTTGTAATAATTGAAATTTGTTCAAAATGTCATCTCTTTGCTTCTTTATCACAGATACTTGAGATAAACTTGAACAAACACTATTTCTCAGATTCAGTATCGCCTTTGTGCAAGACCTTCCTTCAGCCACCAGGTGGCAAGCTAAGCATCCTCAAAATTAAAGTTCCAGGCTGAGATCTGTGTGACTGTGACTGTTCTTGGAAAGTTTATAAAGCAAGAATTAATTCCTCAGTAGATTCTTCATAGATATAATACACATGTTTCTTGCATACTGTAAACCTTCCTATTTACCAATTTCTCCCCTTTATACATGAGTTTTTTTACTCTTCTTTTTTCTTTTTAAAAACTTGGAATCTGTCATTGCTCTATTAGTATGCTTATTTGGCTCCCTTTTATTACTGCATACATTCTAAACTCCTTTGCCTGACATACAGGACCTTCTACAAATTGTCTTGAACCTGCATTTCTAGCTTCATTTCCTCTTACTTCCTCCCCACTCCAAATATACACCCACACACACATACACTGTTTCTCCTTCTCAGCACATTCCAGCTCTCAGGGCCTGATCCAGCCACACCAAATTCCTCCCAGGTCAGTGTAACACACTAGTCATACCTCCATGACATGGTAAGAGCTGTTGACTTTCAATACTCTCCCATTTTTTCCACCTATTCAATTGAAACTCAAATTTGAGTCTTCGAAAGATGCCAACGTCTCCTCTAACAGTTATCCATGACTCTGCTAAGCCCCCTAAATCATTTTTTTATACCACCATTAGAGCTTTCATGTTTTCTTTATTGATTTTTTAAATATGTGTTTATTTTATTGATTTTTTTTAGAGGGAGTGGAAGGGAGAGAGATAAAAACATCCATGTGAGAGAAACATCAACCGGCTGCCTCTTGTACGCTCCTACTCAGGATCCAGCCTTCAACCTGACCAGGAATCAAACCATTGACCTCTTGGTTCACGGGTTGGTGCTCAACCACTGAGCAACACCAGCCAGGAAGAGCTGTCATGTTTTATTATGACATTTTTGCCTTTGTTTCTCCTTCCACTAAATATGTGTTACTTGCTAACAAGAAATCATTACAGATTTTTTTTTCTTAAATCTAAGGCCTCACACTGTGCCTGGCCAGTTGGTAAGTCTCAATGAATATTGACTAGCTTGCTGAATGGATGAATAAATGAATGACTGAATGAATTAAGATTATATGAAAATAAATATTTTCATTTTAAGTGATTTATCATTTTCATCAGTATATACAGTACTTAATACAGTGTTTATATTGTTAGAATTTTTACCCAATATTAATTATTATTATTATGAGAAAAATCACTTAAAAGTAAACAAACATTGAATTGTCAACAGGAGGTAGGAAATCCTGCTTCTTCCCATGAGGAGGTAAGCCAAGGACAGCTGGAAAGATGGCATAGCTCAGGAAATAATTAGAGACCCAAGCAATGTGTACATATGCAAATCAGCATAATATACTAATACAATAAAGTAGTTCACTTAATGAATGATTAAATAAATCATTGGGTTTAGCTGTTGGCATAAGTTTCCATAATTCAGTTGACACGTCAAATATTTTTCTCAGCAAAGATATTGATTTTGCACAAAGGTTATAATTTAACAAATACATAATATTGATTTTTTCAAGGCTCTCAGTCCAGAGCTATGAGGATCTCAGCAGAACGGTAACTCCTTCTAATTAAAAGCCTCGGCATGTGAATATGTGCCATAGGGCAGTAGGCGCCCCATGATGCACTGGAATCTGAGTTTGCCTATTCACCTCTTTAGTCCTGTGACTATAGCCTCATCCCTGATAACATTTTTTTGCATTTTGTCTTCTTGGTTTAAGATCCAGGAGATTTTCTGTCTCTATTAAATTATACTAGGGTGTTTTATTAATTATATGAATAGCTATTGAGTGTCTACTGGGTGCAAGGGAATGAGCTATGCTCCAACATATTGCTTGTGACATGTTCTTTCTACTGCTTTTTAGATATTATTTGGATAAAGGCCTACACAGAGCCAGATGTTCTTCGGGAGGAAGAGTCTAAACCTCAAAATATTTATATTGGTATACTGGAGGATCTTGTACACTTGGGCATATACAGAAAAAGTTTATCCCAGCAGTTTTAACAGAATCCTTCTCAGATACTTTCAGGAAACAGCAGCTGTAGGACTGTATATATAGTCCAGGTCCCAAATTTGGGAACTTGACCTTTTTCTTTAAGTCAAATCTAGTAGGATAGCCACCTTATATTGATTTTAGCTAATATTCTCAAATGGAACTAGTTAAGTCAGCATATAAATTGCTGTTGACTATTATTGAATACCCACAGTGTGCTAGGCACTATTAATTCAACTGGATCTCATTAATTCAAGTGAGTAACTAGGTCCCCATTCGGAGGGCTCACATTTTACAAATGACCAAGCAAGAGAAAAACACCCAGCTGAAGGCAACAGAACTGGCAGGCACTTTCATCATCTGCTGTTAATTGGAAGAAGTAGAACTTAATTTTATTCAGAATAATGCTTCATCATGGCTTTGGGAAGTAATGAAGTCTCAGGGGGTCTGAATGGGTTCCTCTAATAAACTTCACACGAGACATAGAAGATTGGTTGAAGGAGAAGAGGGGTCCTCTTACAAAATTTTAAGAGTTGTGGGGAGGTAAAATAAAATGAATTAAATCTACATTTTTGTGTCAAATGCACCAGAAAAAAAATCACAAAATTATTTTCTCTGGCCATCCATGGATTACTCCCTTTGAAGCTAACTTATGGATGAGAGCATGCAGGGTTAAGAGAAGGAAATGAGGGGCATGCTGAACTTGAGTTACAGGTGAAGTACCTACGACTCCAAGGGGTTTGGGTGCCTTCCTTTGTTGCAAAGGGAAACTAATAAGTTGATAGCCTGGAGTTGGAGGACTCACACTTTTTCATAAGACTTGACATTGCATTTTCCTAATGATAGACCCTTCCTTATTAGTGGCTTCCTGTCATTATTTGATTATAATTGTTTATTTCATGGATTCTTTCAACAATGTGTACTAGGCATCTCTAATGAGCAAGGTATTCTGCTAGGTACTAAGAAGACAATAATCTACAAAACAATTGTATCGCCTGCCCTCATGGAGTTTACAGTCTGATAAGAAAGGCAAATGTTAAATGCAGACATCACTGTTTAACTATAGCCATACATAAGCTATGAAGAAAAAGCACACTGGGTATTTGGAGAATGCACCAACAAGTAGTAGCAATACTAATTCAATACTGTGGATGATAATACAAAGAAGAGCTACCCTTAACTGAGCACCTACTCTAGACACTTTGCTTAAGTACTTGGCATTCTTTCTTATTTTTACACTAGAGGCCCGGTGCATGAAATTCGTGCACTTGGGGGATGATCCTTCAGCCCAGCCTGCACCCTCTCGCAGTCTGGTAGCCCTCGGGGGATGTCCAACTGCCAGCTTAGAGAGCAGGCCTAAGCTGTCAGTGGGACATCTTTAGCACTGCCGCGGAGGCAGGAGAGGCTGCTGCCACCACCGCTGCGCTCGCCAGCCGTGAGCCCGGCTTCTGGCTGAGCAG